GAATTTGGAGCAGGAATAGTAGGGTGAATAGCATGTCTCTAAGACCGTTAACAATTTATAAAATTGTAAAGAAGTAAACAAAACATACAAACATAAACACCTTGGATTTCAACGTAATTAGAAGTCAGCTTAATGCAAGTGTAGATGTAATAAACCAAGGGAAAATTAGCTTTAGTTAGAAGACAAAATATATAATTGCACAGATCACATGATTTTAGAAAATCTGAGCTTTGGATGGAAATAATCAGATTGTGAGTGATAAAAACAATAACATATATGGATACATTGAAGACTTTAATTGGATCCAACCAGATAATTACAGGACTAAAAAGCTGATGCAGTATAAAAGCAATGAAATTTTAAAAAACATAAGAGGTTTATAGTAGCAGCTGCACATGATTAAAGACTAATAAAATTAACAAAAAAAAAACATATACAAAACCAACATAAAAATAAAATGGCTTAGCCATTTTTTTCAAAATGCAAAATAACAAAGCAAATCTGTAAAAAGAAGTGTAATCAAAGTGTAACTGCAGAAGAGTGCTCTGGCACTTTGGACAGATCAACTTCACAAAAGCATAAATGCTATTGTGATCTATAGCCCATATTGATTTTCACTTTTTATATCATGTTAATTTTATTGACTGTGTTCCATTAAAATAAAGAAATTCTAGTTTCATAGCCATTGTATTTCAATGATTTCCTGTGTTCACCACCAAGACTATTAACCATTTATTTACTGTCAAATGTTCTTAGCTCTGTTAAAGAGCTGTAGCTTGAGAAACACGTACACAGGTTTCTCTGATGATGTTGTCTGCAACATGGAAGAGGTACCTGGTAACTTGATCTTGATATCTATTTAATGAAATACTATTTCCCCATAACTCATGTAGTTCCCAGTGTTAGACCCAAACAAACAAGATTCATCTATTACTGAGCTAATATATTGAGACAGCTAATTTTCCAGCAGACCTTGCATGTTAAGAGACTTACTCTTTCCTCCCTCCTTTCTTTCTAATTGTGTGATTCTGTAGGGCTTTTTCAGTTGTATTTTAAGCCACCTTCACCATGAGGGGTGAGCTATGCTGACCCAGACTCAGCAACAGTTCAGTGTTTAAATAAATCTTCCTGAGAGATAGAAGATTCAAGTTTGAGTCCCTTGGCTAAGGAGAATACCGAGCCCAGATTCTTACTTTCTGGATTGAATTCAGGATATAATTTGTCATTTTTCTTAGAGAAAATGTGAGCAGCTAGACCTAGCCTTCAAACATAGCCTTCAAATCAAGACCAGTTTCAATTAAAGCTCCTTTGTACATGATGTCACACTCTCTGTTATTACTTTTTTCACACTTTTCTTTCTTTCTGGTCCTCAAAATCATGAATGTTTCTTAAATGACATTAGACTCTGCTTTGGTACGGACACATACCAGCAAGCATTTTAATTATCATGCACATACCCTACTGGCAGCAGGACATACAGGATTTTTTTCAATTATTAAAATCTCATAAAAATCTCTAAGTAACTTAAATTTCCAGCATAATCCCCTTTCCCATCAAAGCTGCACAGAGCTTTGGCTGGGCCTGTCCCAGGCTCCAGTTTTCATCACATCACAGCCTGGCTGCGGATCTGTCCATGGTTCTGCTGAGCTGGCCGCAGCATCACCCTAATATCCCCACCTGGCCATTCCCAGGGCTAGGTCTGACCCTGGTTACTCTCTAATCTGAGCCCAGCCTTGGTGTTCCCTGATTATAACCGTATCTCAAGCTTTTCTGAGGTTCAAGGATATCACACACACCTAATTCTCAACAAAAGGAGAATTAAAAAAAATACGGACAGCTTTTGGTTAAACACACTCTATCCAGTCTCATTTTCTATCAGTATTTTGAAATGTAAATTATCTAGTCACTCAGAAGAAAAAAAAGAACTAGAAATATTTGAGACTAACTGAACAAGATAATTTAAATTCTGTTACTTTAGTATCATTCAAGTAGGTAAAACATTCCATTTCAATTGAACATAATTCTAAATTCAAGGCTAATATGGTTAATCAGTATATGTACTTTTATGTACATACCATATACTTGCATTTTCTTAAAGAGTTTTTCCATGTCAATATCCAAATTACTTTCTATGAAGTGCTTTATGAAATTGCTTTGCAGTGCTTCCTAAAATGAAAAGTGTTAGATATTACGTCAGGTTTATATTCTTTAAAGAAATATAAAATATACATATGCATTCATGTTCAATTCCATTACCAAGATTTCCTGCATAACACTGGAGAAGTCACTTAACCTCTCCCTGTCTTCCCCTCTTAAAAGGTTAGCTCCACACATTTCAAGTAAACAGCAAAATATATACTCCCCATTGCTTACATCACTGTCGTCCTTTACTACAAATACTTTAACTGCAAGTCCATTTTAATGTCCTTGCAACTCTGCTAGGATAGGAACCCATTTTCTTTTCCTGCAGGACTTTTGGGCCTCTATACTATTACCTTTAATAGTAATACAGTAAAAAAATTTTAAAAACTGGCATTTGAGAGTTCCTTTTACATTATCTTAACTTCTTTACCTCATTCATCAAATTCTAAGGGGGAAAAAATCATTAGCTCTACATGAGCATCCTGGCATCTGCAAGTCAAATTCATGATTACTAGCATCATTCCTTAATTGAACTTAAAAGTAACAGTTCATTTGATATGTATGGACAATGACAGGATTGCTCTTATTTTCCCAAAGTGTTCCCATGCATGTTTTCACAAGTTGAACGTGGTAAAACTAAATTTTATTAGGGGAAAAAAGGACACAAACATATAGAATGGGAAAAATCCCAGTAACAAAAATACTCTTTTTTTTTTTGGTCAATATTTTTCTCATGTCAGTACTTTTTTTATCAGTTACACACATTGTTAGTAAATGTGTGTAACAAGTGACAAACAAGCAAGTTCCATAAAATATTTTACTTCCTACAATCTTACATTTGTTTTAAGTAAGAGTATAAAGCCTGTAGGTGTATCTATGTGGTTTATTTCCCCTGTTGCCTGGTAATACTGGACACATAGTGAGGTAATGTCAGTTTTAACTGTTTGCACCTCAAAATTTTCTCAGTACCACATCATAGACTTATAACCTAAAGCTAATCTGCTTCTTTTTCAGCAATTTTTAAACCTGAAGGCAGATAGATGGGCAGTTTTACATGCATAGAAAATCTATCTACATTGCATAGAAAATAACCTGAAAATAGGAAGCCATCCCAGTTCACCAACCTGCAGGCATGAGACTGTGAGGACATTTCCACTGGTTTTAAAAACCTCAGACATCCTAAGCCATGTCTCAGAATAAGTCTTCACATTTTCCACAAAACTAAAAGTGAAATTAGCCTGAAAAAAGAATACATGGACACAAATGAAGTAAAAATCGTGCATAGCAAATCTTAAGAAACAAGAAAAACTGGCACTCTTCAGATCTTCTCCAACTCATTTCCATTTAACTTTGATAATCATCAGTAAGGATATCCATGTTTTCTTTTTTCTACTAAAGTATCTGCTCTAGTCTCTGAATACCAAGCAAATTAAAGTCTTCCTGCAGTATGGATATTTCCTACCTGAAGTATCATAAAGACCTCTATTTTATAATATCTCTTTCATACAGAGTTTCACAGACATGCTTCAGAAAGACAGAAAAAAAAATACTGTTAGGATATACTCAAAAGAAAGCATTTGCAGATCTTGTGGGTCTTTTCTTCAAACTACTTTGACTAAATATATAAAAAGAGTGAAATTTGGAAGCACAGTCTGGACAGTGAATTGTAAACTTCAACTTGGACCACATTTTGCAGTAAGTCCTATTGAAAGTACACGATTTTTTGCCTTAGCATTTTAATTCACTGCTCCTAGCAGAACATGGGAAAACAATTTGTGGTGGTTCTTTCTTCTTGTTTGTAGCACAGAAAGCCCCAAAGAGACCTTTGCAAATATTTGTATTTTCCTGAAAGATTTTATGCATTTAACTTCTGAGACTCCTCATTCTGTGGTGAGGCACTGGAATGGGTTGCCCAAGGAAGTAGTGAATGCTCCATCCCTGGTAGTGTTCAAGGCCAGGTTGGACAGAGCCTTGGGCGACATAGTTTAGTGCAAGTGTCCCTGCTCATGGCAGGGGGGTTGGAACTAAATGATCTTAAAGTCCTTTCCAACCCAAACCTATGATTCCACTCCAAACCGTTAATTCCCCTTTTCTTTTAAAAAAAAAAAAAAAAAAAAAAAAAAATGGTAAATTCAAATAGCAGAGGAAAGACTAAGACAAAAGGGGATTGTTTATTTTTTTTTGCTTTCCCATTCACTGTGGTAGGCCTGGAGGTTCTTGTATCAGAAGCCTTCTACATAAAGGATACTTTAGAGAATGTCTCAAATTGAAGCACAGTAAAAAAAGGTCATAAAGTTTAACTAAATGAGCAATAGGTAGTTTCCAGGAAAAGATAACACCCAGCCAAGAACTCTAGGAGCACTCGAGAATCAAATATTTTGAGAATTCTTTGTAGTGTAACCTGCTGATTAAAAATAATTTATCAGGGAAGTGGAAAATTACAAATGCAATCCTATTCATAGAAAAGATGCTAGAGGAAATAGAGGAATACAGACTAATCATTCTGATATCTGCACTAAACAAATTTTAAATTTGCTATATATATATAATAATAATAAATTACAATAAAGGGTAGAGTGGAAGCAAAGAAGGGAAATAAACATATTTGGGAGATAGAAACACAGGATTTTAAAAAAGAAGTTGCCTCTGATGAAGTGAAACAAGCAAGTGAGGAAGAGGTGGTTGCTGCAGAACATCTCGCCACAGAGACTGAATACTAAAAGTTTATATAAGCTCAAAATGCAAATGGACAAATTATAGCAATCAACTCCTGGCAAGTCTAACTCTTAAGGTTTGGAAAGTTGGGACAGTATTTGAGGGAATATCACTTTCGTGATTCTTCAGTTCTTCCCTATACAGCCTTTACTGATTACAGCAGAAATCAGAACCTAAGGCAAGAAGAATGTTTAATCTTTTATGGTAAAGCAGCTCCTGTGAGTTTGTATGCTAATGACTAGCTGGACTTTGATGTTTAATAAAAATTCTCATCAAGTTCTCTTCTTTCTAGTCCATGAAGATCCATTAAAATAAATATTCTTCATAACATCTAGGCTGGATATTGCCTTTGATTAAATTAGAGTCTTCAATATGAACTTTGGTCCTGAACTAAATATGTCTAAGCCTCCTCATGATGTAAGAAAAATGAAAATGGTATTTTAAGCTTATTGAACTGCTTTTATAATGACATCTTTTAACAGGCTGACAAGCAAAGTGTGCTTACAAAAAGCCAACCAGATACGTAAGTTTAGAATAAGAAATTACTCAACACATTATCAATTTTTATAATTATACTAGACAAAAGCCAGGAAATTTAAATTAATGAATTTGCTAGCTTTCTTTCATTTCTGAGTTGTCTTGCCACATTTATATTTTCTTTATATATATATTCTTTTGACTGTTCAAATTATCAAGAAATAGCACAAAGTTCTTCTAATGTGATTGCCTGAATATAAGATCAACTCTGAGACTCTTTTGAAATAAGAAGTACTTTCATAAGATCAGCTCAGTGGCAAAAAGTTCAGTAGCAAAAACAAGGATCAAAGACATCACACAAGGTTTTTGAACTCCTGGATGCCAGTTGGCACTGAACTTTTTTGCTCTCTGTTAACACTACAAGCTTTATCTCTGATGGTCAGTTATTCTACGCATTAGAACTGTTGACTTCCTAGAAGGTAAAACCAGCAACCTCACAAGTTATTGAAGAATGATCAATTACACAGTCTTGAAACAAAATAGTCCATGTGAAAAACTTAAAAAGTGTATCTTCATATACAAGCATCAATGTTCTTTTTAGCTTTACTCCTCTGATTTTTTCTTTTAGTAAATAGCTGAAGTGGTCACATAATCTAAAAGCAATTAGTACTTCTGTTCCAATTTCAGTAGAAGATTTGGCTCTGTAAGGGCTACAGGGTCATTTTTAGTAGCTATTTTTTAGTAGCTGTGTTCGAGATGCTTGGGACAATATTTTGCATTTAAATTTTGTTTCTGTTCAAGCAATAGCAGATAGACTTCTGTAATTAAGCCACTGAGAAAATTGTTGAAGAAACTCTCTTACTACTTTCATATTTACACATAAACAGATACACATCCATACTTGCTTGTTAGATCTACATGTCTGGGGGTAGAGTGGGAGTATATTAACACAGATTCCTCAAGAAGAAAGTGGAAATTTTGTGAGCCCAAGAATACATAAAGCAAATTAGATACTCTGCTGAAGGCACCTATCAGAATCTTTGTATTGTTCCAGAGCACTAAAAAAACTAAACAAAGGAACAAAAACCAAACCAAACCAAAACAAAACCAAACAAACAACAAAAAAAACAACAAAACAAACCCACACTGACTCCCCCACTCAAAAGAAAAAAAAACAAGGAAAGAACACAAGCAGACTTCATCCTGAACTGTATTACTCAGTCCTGATTTCACTAGATCCATAGGGGAGCACAATGTATGTCAGGACATTTATCTTTCTTACAGATGCTTTAAGAACATGGTTTTGGCATATTATTTGGTGAAATTACATAGAAATGTCTTAAGTGCCTTATTTTAAATGTCTTTGTAACATATAATATAATTACCATTTCTCACATTCGTTCTTTATAGAATTTCCATCTATAAATGTCAAAAGCAGCTTCATTTTTAGCTGACTAAAAACTTAAAATTAATTTTACTCAGCTTTAGGGAAATGACCTGTTGCCCAAATTAAAATTATTTAACAGCAAAATATGGAATCACAGAAACCTTATTTCCAGTTCACAGCAGAAACCATAAAGTTACCTAGTATCTGCTATCTAGTATGTGTTTTTTGGCTTAGTTATGTTTAAGGGTTTTTTGCTACCTTTTTAAAGCATAAGTCCGAATCCTACAATGTATTCCATTTACATGGAAAATAGTTATCATTACATTCAAAGTAACTACAGCCCTTTGTTGTACCACTTACAAGCAGTAATGTTTTTTCTACTTTTTAAATTAACCTAATTACCATTCTTGCAATCAGTAATATTCCAGGGTAAAAATCATACATTTGCAAGAAAAATGTAAAATTTACACAGAACTATACTTAAAATAAGTTGTCATCATCCCTCCTTTTACAGAGGCCTCAAAGCTACTCACGAGCAAGTCTTTCATTGTGGATAATCATGCTAAAGACAGAACAGCTACCATATCAAAACCGCAAAGATAGTAAAACTGTTGAATAATATGAAGTCATCAGCATCCACACGTATGGCAGCTCAGCTACTACTGGTCATTCATATTACTGGTGTTAGAAACATAATCAGGAAGGATACACTGCAGGTTTTTTGGTTGGTTGGCTGGGTTTTTTTTAAATATAGCTCAGTGACTCCCTCAGAACAGACTTTCGTTCCTGGAGCCTCCCTTCTCCACAGCTCCTTATTCTGCCCCACTAGAGTTCCCATCATAAGAGATGTTTGTTGAGGGCAAAAGCTCATTTAGAATACGTATGTCCTACACCTCGATAGAGTATGATTCACATGCTGCTTCTGCTAATGTGTTCTTTTTAATCTGTCTATACAAGATTTAAGGGACTTTGAACAAAATTCTGCTTTTCACACTGAGGTGAAAACACTATAACAAGTAGAATAAAAGACAAGAGATATATTAAGCTGACACTGAGAGCCAGGTGAGAATTCAGGGGTCAGGGTGGATCCAGTTTTCTGAAAGGCAATTATCCAATTGCTTCTACCTATCCTAAAAGAAGTGGACATTTAAAATGAACTACAAAGACAAAGATCAATAAACAGAAATAGTGTTTCTTTGATACTCACCTTCTTCATCACCAGGTCAATCATGTTGATGTTTGAATTGTACAGTATCTTCCCATGCAATAAAGGTTTTAGGAAAGTCCATAGCAAAGCCCCATTAGAAGACCGCAAAATCTCCTGATAAAGCTTCAAGCAAAATGGAGCTGCAAGAGCACAGATTCACTCATGTTTAAAACAGACAACACTGGTGAAGTTGCATTATTATTATTATTAATTTTATTTCAAAGAAAAGCTTGAGTCCGAATTTAGCATCTGCTGCAGCACCATGTCAAATACCATCCAATTGCCACCAAACAAGCACTATAGGTCCCCGAATAGGAATTATTTAACCACAGTCAGTGATAGTATTGAGGATGCAGAACTCTAAACATGAGACACGCAAAAAAAGAATTACAATCCAAAGAGGTTCTCACATTTGTGAAAACCAGCCTGTGAACCCTGTCTATCCTAAAAGCTACATTATTGAATTTTAGAGTGAAAGGACACACAAAATATCTGCCCAGAAGACAAATGCTGAGGGAAGAGTGACTTTGAACCACTCAGATTTACTCCCCACCCTTGGTTGCTCTGTAGCTTTGTATTCCTACTTAAGAAAGAAGTGGATATATAGAAATTCCTTCACAAATACAGATTTTTTTTATCTGTATAATTTTGTAAGAACCTACTAAAATCACAGGGAAAAAATACCATGAGATAATTTCTTGATTTGAAAAATCTAATCAGTTCATTTTTCAATTCCTTAATGAAAAAAAAACATGTTCCTACATCAGATGGGTTGTTAATGCTTTAGAATGTACATCCTTCAGAACTGGGATCCAAGGAATATCCCACTGCAAGACCCAAAATATTCCACTGCACTTGCACTCAAGTAAAGACAATGAATTTCCTATCAGAAACGTTTAGATTTTTATGCCTAACTCATGCATTTTGTGGTGGGTTTTTTTTATTATGTATTATGAGTGGATTTAGAAATATCCCATTTCCAGTGCTGTGAAGAAACATTAAGTAACATCATTAACTGGCCAAGGAAGACAAATTATTGTACATAATCGAAAACTAGGCCAAAACCATTTAAACTCCTGCCAAAGTTTAAGAAACAAGTGTTTCTTTGTCCAATTTTTTGCCTTCTTTAAGGGAACAATCATTACTAAACACAATCATTGCTATATGACAGCAAAGAATTAGAAGGCTCCAAGCTAGCCAGTCAGAAACATCAATATCCTGAAGACACAGGAGACCAGCTAATTTGAGTTTGCTGTGATTTTCAGAAAGTCATTGGCAAGTGTCTGGTACACAAAATAAGTGCAAGTTAATCACTGAGAAGGAGTACAGATTGAGATTCTGTTGCCTCCTATAAATGTTTCTACTTTGATTTTACATTGCCTTGTTTACCATTTTTTTTAAATTAAAGAAACAGGATTTGTTCACTAATATGAATGCTGGAACTAACACACTTAAAAGATATTTCAAGGTCCTGAGGTAAAATGTCTTACAACACTCCAGTTGTGACAGTATTAAAAAAATAAATAAATTAATAAATAATTGAGAAACAGCACTTCTGGTAAACAGCTTTAAAAGAAGCTAAGTCACAGTCAATCTCTCTAATCAGCCATCCTGCTAACTTCGTTCTTCAAATAGGAAAGAAAAGCAGAGCTGCCTGATTACTGCTATCCCACACACATAACTGAAGAAGGCTAGGGCAGAGCTCTGGCTCCCTCCCCAGGGTACCAGCAAAACCAGAATCAGTTTCTGGCTGTAGAAACAGATAGATGAGAAAGCCATGATCCACAGTCACAGATCCTTCCCTAGTGACACTCTATCACTGTATTCTCTTGCACAGGGCCACTGAGGCACTAACAAGGTTGTTAACAGTACTAAAATTAATCAGGGCAAGTCAAATGTATTGAGGAAAGGGAGCAAAGGTGAAATTATAAAAGAGCCAGGAGATTTTCTAGACACTTGATAAAAAGAATAGGAATATCAACTATTAAAAAACATTTTATCCAGAGGGCTTGAGTATTTTACTGCACAATAATACCACAGCTTTGTGCTCACAGAAGAAAGGCATGAAGTAATGAATTCTCAATCTTGTATCTCAGAGATACATTTTTAATACCAAGTGCTCTAAAAATTCTAATAAATATGTCTCTAAGACAGGAATATTCTTATTTATTATTTGTAAAGATAGAAAACAACAAGAATCACTTATGCCTCATCCACAATTATCTTGTAGCCATAAAACTTCGATTGATCAACCCTTGTGCTCAGGATTACAGTGTCAACTGAGATGACAGCTGGTATATAAACACTTCGATTTAGGACGGAGAACTTCTCTAAACTCTGAATGCATACATACAACTTCTGATTGATAGTTTTCCTGAATGCCATATTTTGCCATATCATCCTCCAAGAGTCCATTGATTCTGGGCATGTCAATGAACAGGTTTGCATTGCTGAAAAATGAAGATTCTTCTTTACACACTGCCTTGGTTACAGACTCTAGGGACCCAACAGCTGAACTTCTGAACTGCCCACCTTGCACGAACTAGGAAAAAACAAACAGAAATACAGATGAATTAAAGTTGATTTTAGTAGCTTCAGGGAGAAGCCCTGGTGTTCTCTCAGTCTTGGTATCCAGGACAATTGACAAAATTAGATTACTGTAACTGCCTATAAGAATGAGAGCCTACTCTGCTCTTTTCTGTTTTTCTGATCACCTTTATCATAGGGGAGAAGAGAAGAGGGTAATGTGGTTTTAGTTGCCAGAATACTTGATGAAAGACAGTAGTATAATGTACTACATTATACTGAAAAAAACTGCGTATCAGTTAGGCAGAAAAAGAATGAAACTATCAAAACCACTTGTCTACATATTCCTTGATTATAATGTCACTTTTCACAAAAAGTCTACTTTTCTGGTAGATTAGTCTTGTGTCAAAGACAGCAGAAACAATCCAAACCATTTTGTATATGAATGTTTGCAGTGAAAACAGCTGCTACGTAGAAAAAAAAAAAATAAAAATCAAGTGTACATGCCCTAAAAGCCTATTTTTCCACTACATCTAACTTGTTAGATGCATTTCTAGTTTTTGCACATCTTGAGTCATACCAGCATTTATTATTGCCATTCGCTCATGACTAGTGTACATCTAATGAGCACCATCATTCACCACATAAAACCAAAAAACAAAACAAAACAAACAAAAAACCAGCCTCCTTTGTGCAGCTTCATTTTTCAAATAACATTCTCAGTTGTAACTGGTATCTCATGGAAGGCTGTACAGATGCAGTTTTAAGAGATGAAACAACTGCAAGGCAAGATGCTGCTAGAGTATAACTGAAGGCTGCATTGGACCGCATGATCCTCATTACTGTTGCAGATGCCTGTCAAGAAAAACATACCTAGACCATCAGATATCATTCGAAGACCACGCAACTGACAAATAGTACAAAGGCTGTGATATGTCAACCAAACACATTTCACGCTGGAATAAATTATCATTTTATCATTGGATTATTTGTTTTGTTTTGTTTGTTGGTTTGGGGTTTTTTTTAACAGAAGAGTCAATTTTGAAAACAGCACAGCACTTTATATAAAGAATAAATCACAGACAGTTTAGAGATTGTGCTCTTAGAAACAGTTCATCCTGATCAATGCATTTACTGAAGTGCCAGGTGCTTCTTTAGTAATCATGGAGGAATATTAAAAAAGTGTTATTTACAACTCAGTGTTGGCTCTAAATGATCTGAGTTTTTGCATACAGTTTCAACATACAGCATAGTAAATAAATAATAACCAGATTTTGTAATACCATCATCTACAGCTCTTGAATTAATGTTTGCATGGACTTTACTGGTGGAATAAAGTTTACGTATACACAATGCTGAATACAAGTGGGTTTGAATCCTTATTAGTCACTATTTGCTCTAGAAGAATAAATGAGGTTTCTTTCAGTCAGAGTACAAACTTGCCAATTAATTCCAATTCCAATCAAAAATAACTTGAAATCTAAATATTGAATATTTATGCAGTAAGCTGCCACCAACAGACTGAATCTACTTACTGTCTTTCAACTAAATATCCACTGACTCAGTAAGATATGTTACCTAAAATTTGGCTTTGATAAAGTGGGAGAACTATCTAGGATGGATGTTCCCAAAAAAGTTATCTTTGATCCAGTTGTCCTAGTTTAAACTAAATGAAGTAGGTTTGTAATCAAAGCTGATGACTCCAGACAAGCAGCCTCCTATAAAGAAAGTAATTAGTCGAGTCAGTTGCTCCAACAGATTCGTGGAAGAAGAAGGCTGCTACTGAAGATTAAAAAAAGCTATCTGGAGCTGGATTCTTAAATGGAGGAAAAAAACCTCATAGCATAGAGGCTTCTGACCTAATTAGACAGCTGTATGCTTTAATAAATAAATAAATAAACAAAAACAAATTCTTGTGGAGTAGAAACATCAACTGTTCAACAAAAGAAACCTAAAAAGTCAAGCCAAACTATAGCTCAAACACGAAACTAAAATAAATTCAGAATCATCACATTAAGAAAGAGAGAAAAAAGGCAATATTCCTGGAAAACTACAAGGTGGTTAAAGATAATTCAAAGTCTAATGAAACCAAAGGGATAAAAGAAACAAACGCAGAGAAACAGATATTCCTACTTCTGCGTAGAGCCATAATAAACCAAGGTTTTTATTGTACTGAAATTGAAAGATTCAGGTTAAAAAAATGGTAAAATTACTGATGTGGTTGAATTGTTCTTCAGAAGTTTATCAAATTTAGATGGCAATAATTGAATAAAAAGTAGAAAATCCAACTATACTCAAGAATGACATAATGCTCCGGGAAATAATGGATATCTTGTTGTGATGTTTAATAAGGCAAGATATACAACGAATTTTAAAGTGGAGAGCAATTAAAGAAAGAAAGTATATGAGGAGTAGAATTTGATGCATCATAGAATCATTCCAGACTAACAGTATATTTGTGTGGTAAGACAAGTGCTTTCTCCTAAAAAAGATATATACTATCTCTAAACTAGGTGAAGTCTAATAACCAACTAGTGTTCTTGCCCTTGAAAATACTAATCAGCATTAATCCAATACCTATGTGGTGGTTAAAAAATGGCATTAAGAAGATATTGCAGGGATGGTCTTAAAAGGAAAAAAAAAAATATTGGATCACAGAAAAGTTACTAGTGTTATTCCTGTGAGACTGATCTTTGTGATCACTTATTGTGATAAGTTTTTAGCCCAGAATGAAGTAAATAACTGAGATTTGCCTATAATTTAATAGCAGAAGGCATTTCAGGAGAAAAGATCATCAGATTGCAATATGGCAAGAAACCAATTACCTAATTTAAAGTAAATCAAATATTAAAAGAATGAGTGCAGTACATCAAATATAAAAAGAATGAGTGCACAACATTATTTACCAGCTGAAATCATAAAATGGAGCTTACCTGGGTATATTGCTGATCCTTGATCAAGTAAGACAGAAAAATGTATGCAGCTTACAAAAAAGTGAATGCAAGATTAAGAAAGTAATTTTAGGAAGTATAGACATGAATGAGCAGAACTACCAGAGTTATCAGCTATAATTTCCCTCAAAGATTGTACACATTTCTTGTCCCCAGCATTCAAAATACTTTTAACATGGTGTATGAAGATAACACTAGGATGTCTGAGACAACTGAGAGCCTGTTACAAAAGGATATAAAACTAAACCAAGCAAACATATATATATTTATATTATATAAGATATAAATACAAACCAAACAAAAAAAATCTATTTAACTTTGCAGAACAGAGAAGGACTATGACTGGCCTTACACAAACACATGGGCAAGTCAAAGAAGTTATAAAAGCTACTGAAAATTTTTGAGACAAGAGTAAACATACTAGCCATGGATAAACTTGTCAGAACTAACAAGAGGCTTTTCAGTAATGATACTTTCAACAGAAAACTTGCTCAAATTAGTGGAGGGATTACAGAATGAGGACACCTTTCACAATTGACAGCATTCAGTAAATCTGCAAGTCCTCTCCAGCATATCCATTCATGAGTGACAAATATACCAAAAATTACCTATGGAAATACAAGCGAATGATTTCAAACAACAAAGCATCAAACAAAAATCATGATTGAAATCAGAGTGTTTTTCCTCAGGGAGTTAACCATTCACTCAGTGTTGTTAACAGTAGAATGTGGCTCTGTGTTCCAAATACCACTGACCGGTAGATATTGAGGTTTTAACATAATCTTTTATTACACAGTATGTAGCATACCAATTCAACTTCACATTTTACAGATATTTTAAAGGTATTTTAGTTTTGTCTTTCAGACAAAAATCCATATGCATAATTCACAATTGCTTTATTACCTTTTTTATCATAGATGTTTGGTTGTTTTTTTTAATGAACTTCAAAATAACTTTTTCAGTTAAAAGTTAATGAAGGAGACAATCTGTCTTACTCTATGATGAAGAGCTATGTATTTTTACCTTAAAAATCTTTACGTACATCATTTGATAATCTTCCTAGGTCACTGAACTACTTTGCTGCAAGATATCATGACAATAAAAACCCGGAGGGATGGACTTCTTTGGAAATAGAAGAAAATATTTAAGAAGGGAAGTGCATAAGCAATATTTTCACTTTAGTAGTGCACTTATTCATAGCACAAGTTTGGCCACTACAGAAAAGAAGCAAAAAAAAAAAAAAAAAAAATCAATATTCAAAGGTAGGAATAGAAAGTAATAAAAAATCCACTTATACCTGAAAAGGAAAAGATACTTAAAAATAAACAACTTTTACTAATCTACAAAATGAGAAAAAAGAGAGACATAAGACCCTTCAAAACATTAAATATCTGATTTATTAACAAAAGAAATAGACACTGAATTTTTTAATCCTCCACAAGTTATTAGATGATAAAGCCAAGAAGAAATTTCTCAAGAAAAAAGGAATTAAAAAAACTAAGAAAACAAAGATTGTGCCAGAAAAAGTGACTCAAAAAAGGTAAGATGTAAAAAGGAACAAAAATTCCAAATTTAGAAGTATGCTAGACCACAGAATACGGATTGCCACGGAGCAAAGATTATAATTACAACCAGAAGGCCCTCTACTGTTAGATTTGCTACTTTGCAAACTCTTTTTGAACAGGAAAACAGGACCTTTTCAGAGGTTCTTCAATCAAATAAGCAACTTTAGGACTTCACTCCAAAAAAAATACTTCATTTGTTCAAAGAAAAGTCTGACACAAACAGAACTAGTTTCAGGAAAGCAGAAAAGATGTGAGCATCTGATGAAAACCTCCTTTCATTGCTTCAGACAAAGAGCTACCCCAAAAGGGAGGATCAAAACCAAAACTAATATGCACAGAAGAGCATTTAACAACACACCTCTGTCACACAGATTAGAAGATCTTGAAAAAGATTCATATCACTAGGGAAAACATTATTTAAGGAAGCATTTACTCTGTATTGTAGTCACAAACCAGTCTGGACTGTTTACCACTGAGGGATCTCTTAGAGATTTGCAATTTTAGAACCAGATACATTCATAAACTTTCCACAAAGAATAGCATTTCCAGAAGGTGAGGTATGCTGTAGGGTTCAGAAGGTCTTCTTAAGGAATTGCACTTATTTAACACTAGATTCACCACTGTGCTAGCTGTATAGATGTGCATACAGCAACTGCCCTTAAAGAGAGCAACAAAAGAAATATGCTCAGTTCCACCTCATGCCACATTTTTTTAAGTGCCAAGCAGAACTATCACACAAAAACCTGAAGTGACACAAACAGAAACCTATGGCAGATACAACAGCACATGCTATCTTGAAATCTTACCCTTTAAAAAAGCAAAGCTATTTCTTCTCTCTAAGTTCCTAACTTTCTAGGACACAATTTCTACTAGTCTTCCTCTTTACTAAGCATACATCCCTAAAAAAGTACCTTACAATGGGAATTAAGTTTGTATATCGAAACCATACAGATACCTGCTGCAATGCAGAGATGTCGAGCGCACCAATATTTTGAATTCTTTGGAGGAACACTGGAAGGTTTTCCATAACGTAATGGGCTTTATTGAGAAGAGACCTGATACTAGAAACCACTTCCAGTAGCATGTTTAGTACATTGTCTACCTCAGAAGGTATCTTAACCTTGGAAAAGAAGGAAAAAAAAAATTACAACAATAAATTCCCATTAGAAATACATTTTAACCTTTCAATGAAACACTCAAAATTATTCAGTCTTTTATAAAACTGATTGTACAATGTTCCTGCAAACCAGATTTAACAAAACTCCTTTTAGTATAACTCCCCAGTTACTCTCAAATTCAGCTAAAGGAAAATTCTCTGGTAATGTTAGAACTGGCCTATGACAAATCAGGAATTAAAAACCAAACATGTTATATCTACCAAGCTGAAAAGAGGTCTCCTACCCAAGATGCTAATGTTTTTTCTTTGCTAGGAATTAACTGTGCTACAGTAAGGCTTCAGTAGAAAAGTCCATAAGAATAAGCACTGGTTTTTTTTCTCTCTCTCCACTTCTTCCCTCCCCCACCCCACCCCTGCTTCCCCTCTGCCACTCTTGGTTGGCACATAATTCAGAAAGTAGAAATCTTTTCTTTTTCTTCTGTTATCTTAACATATGCTGGGAAACTGTCTTATTTTTAAAAGTGTGTGGCCAACCTGTTTAACTGCACATGCAGCATGCACAATAGAGATGAATAAAATATTCTTCCTCCCATATGTTATACCTGTTTTCAACTACTTGTACTTACATTTTATGTTCTGTCAATCCATTATCCCAAAAGAACCAAAATAAATGTCTGCTATCAGAAATCCCACTCAATAATTTGTTCTTACAAGTAAAAATATTATCTCACTGAAAACCCACACTATATCCCAGATTATCTGCAGTTGCACAGATAATACAATTTTGCTACAGACTTCTGTATCCCCTTCATTATAGTTTTGGCACTGTATTATTCTTGTCAAAGTCATTTGACTTGGGTCATATAAAATATAGGAGGTTTTGGCTTATGGAGAGATTTATCCTGAGAGCTGGAAAAGCTTTCTGAAGGAGCTACCTGAATTTCCAACATGATTTCTACACCAAATAAAGTGCATTTCAGTGTGCTATGAATTTTTCCCTGAGAATAATTTTGTAATTCTTGTAATGCAAATTCCTATGCTTGCTTTAGTTCCAATGATGTCACATCAGTCTCCCACACTTTCACATTAAGAAGTGAGTAATTGCAGGAATTGCAAACTCTGCTAAAGAGCAATAAAACTATGTCTTCTATCTCTTGTGTTTTCTCTAAAGCTTTCATGATTAACTCTGTGATGATTTTCCTGAGGAAGCAAGAAACGGAATACAGTAGCATCTACCAATCCCATTCTTCGACTGTTGTGTTTATTTTGTGGAGTTAAATGAAGACAGAAAAAGTGCCATACGTCCAGTGTTTGCTTCATAGAGAAAGAACATCTGAAGAGATAATAGAACCATTTCATTTATCTAGCTGCATGTTTTAAACCACCTTCAAAAGAAAATCATAGGAACTGCATGCTGGTTTTCCCCATCTTACCTTGTAAAAAATATGACGTACGTTCAAATTCTGTATAATCAGTACAAACATGGTATACAAATCCAGTGCTGGTAAAGAACATAATTCTTCCACTACCAGGGAAGTTTTACTGTTTTCAGGTAGCTTTAGCAGCAGGCTGAGTACTTCTTCATCACATCTTCCAGTTAAAGCTACCACAAAGGCACTGTAAGAAACCTATCATAATATATGTGTATTAAAAATTTTTCTCCCTGAAATGCATCACCTTCTTCTATAGTCAGTAAGTTGAAAATTTGTGTCACGTAACATGGCAATTTACAGTCACCCACAGACCTGAATTAAGTATACAGCTTTATATCAGACTGGTATGTTCTTACTTTACACTCTATGTACGTATAAAGAAATGAAGTATATTTCTTATAAAGATTTACTTTCATTTGTGAACAGGTTGATCATTCATTCTATGAGCATTCATACCATTAGCAGACATATGTACAGTGCTGAACATATCCATGCTAGCAGATACATATATATATATATATATATATATATATGTTTGTTGCAGAAACACCTACAGATCAAAATCTAGATGCACAAACCACTAAAAAAAATCTGGACCTTCCCTCTTTCAGAGGACACACAAACGTTTAAGACTTAGGGATCCTATATGGTACAATGCTCACCCTGATCCAGCTCACACTTCTCAGTTCAACACTCATTTGAATTGTTATTATTTAACAGTGGATAAAGGGACAAATGCCTAAGCAGACCTTGGGTGAGATTACAATAAAAACTCCTTGGATAATACTAGTTTATTTCTTCCTACAAAAATGTCACATCAAAAGACAAATGCTTGAAGTCCAGATATCTCAGGAGTTCTTAGCTACCCTTTCTCCTGAAGTGTCTGAAAGGCAAATGGCAGCATGTCCAGAAAAATTAGAAGTTCAGAGGAGTCAAAGTACTGTACTCAGGGCTCCATTGTACTCCTTAGGAAAGAATCTGTCTGTAATGCCTCTAGTGAATGCATCTGTAGCTAGTGACAGTACTCAGTGAGGAAGAGGATCCCTAAGAAAATCAAATTAGGAGCCAAAGCTGGTCAAGATATCCAATTTAACATTTTTAATCCTATGAACATTTTAATTTCCAATTTATTAATTTGGCATTTAGATTTTTATTCTGGAAATGAATTTTGCCTTTGTGATGCCAAAGGATTTCCTATGTATTTAAATATTCACTTTTTTATGCATGTGCAAGGAACAGAGTATGAATGTAAATACAATTCTGCTATCTGCATAAAAGGATACTGATTTGAACAACTTTCTGTGGAAGAAATGTGACTCTGTTATAAAATTTTATATTTATTTCCTCATGCCCCACATGAATATCACCATTTCAGTACAGTTTTAACCCATTCAGTACTTTATCCACTAGATTAAGTCCCTCTGAACATTCCTTGCAGCTTTGCAAGTATCAGAGCTAATCCAAACTCCTATGTTCAGTAAATGAATGCTTACAGTCTAAAGTTTAAAAACACTTAATCACAAGGCAATGGACATGGCAAAAGCATGATATAGTGGTAGAAATTAAGGGTAAGTGAAAAAAGCACAAACAACTCGCAGACCTGCCATTCCAGAGGCAAGCACAGTAGCAGTATGGAGTGGGCCTGCAGCTATCATTAGGGTTATCAGACAGTGTCTATATATACAATAAATGTAATGGGTATGCCTAAATTATAGCTTTAAAGAGTACTTGTGCATCTTGCCTAATCAGTAAGAGGCATAAGCTTTAATGTTCCAGTTGGACTGAGGGAGGATTTAAGCACTTAAGCAAACAAAAAATACACATCTGTACAGATATGCAAATGTGAGATGTGTGCACATATCTACATTCTACATAGGACTTTGGCAAAAAAAATAAGGATAGAAAGTCACTTGAAAATTCAGTTGATTAGCATTATAATTCCAGAAAATCAAAGGTGCACCAAATCCCGTTTAACTGAATCACTTCCAGATAATTTCTCTCACTACCATTTACTGGTATCCAAACAAGCTAACAACAAAGGCAGTCACGCTGCCAAAGATGCAAAAGAACAAATCATCTGTAAGACGTCAGGATGGTCTGAACTGTCTTTTTTATAGACACACTTTTCATGAACATCTTACAACTGTTTCTGCAAGTGGAGCATCAGTGACACCCAGTGGCTGCTTGATTGACCTGATTAGTTTAGACCAAATGTGCCCCAACTCTTTCCAGCCATACAAACTTCAACAGGAGTGAGAACATGTGAGTTAACATTTTTCATGATTTCTACTTATCACTGGGACCACAGGAATCAGTAGCAGTGATAACACACACAGTCTTTCACTCAGAAAACTTAGACAATCCACCCTTTAGACAATACTCAAGGGAGAACAGAAATAAAGTGGAGGTAAGGAAAGATACTGGTAAAACAATCTGAGAACAGCAAGAAGCACATGAAATAATTTAAAAAAAAAATCAAATCAGACAACTCTATACTGCGAGGATCAGAGATCGAAGATACAAAATGTTTTCTCCAAGAACCTTCACCTTTTCTACAGTACCAAGATGGCAAAGTTCAAAGTCCATGTCAGCACACAAGATAGAACACTGCTGAAAGTAATGTCATTTAGACCAGAAGATGAGCTGCTATAAATTGATCTATTAATGTTTCACATTGTTATTTTGAAGCCCTAAATCTCACAAAATATTCTGCATAGAAGTGATAATGATAAGATTCCGTATAAACAAGGTGGTTTGTTTTGTTTCGATTGGCACACCAGGCTATATACAGGTTGACCTGTTTAACTAATATCTTTTCCTGATCTCTTACCTTTGAATGAAAGACACTAGCTTCCAAGATGGTACTGATAGTTTCCTCAGAAATATTCAGAGAACCAATGTCAAGCCTCAGCTGAGTAAGATTCTGCACACACTCTTTGACTTTCATACCTGAAGAAAAGAAAAATAGTGCTGACAGTACCAATCTGCTTAATCAAATTGCCCACAGACTGTATCCTTTTCATTAGATTTATTCTAAGAGGTGATAAAGGACACAAAACTTCCTATCATTTAATTCACTTCTACTTAAAAAGTAAAGGTCACTCTCCTGGAAGACTGAAGGGTTTGTGCATCTGTTTGCATTATCCTGTAGGAGCAAAGGTTATCTTATATCTCCATATTATGAGAACATCTGAAGTTAATCAAGTAGCTGTCTTCCTCCACTAAGTCCCCTCTTCTTTCTAATGAATCTGTGCATCTTACTGGACAGGGTCTGACAGAGTAACCTATGCTGTCCTGTGCCAACTCAAGCACATCTGTGGGCACACGTGTACAGTGAAAATAGATTGCATTAAGTCAGTAGTCTCCATAAGTCATATCCCTTGACAGTCTGAGGAACTTTCATTGAGGAACAATGAAACAGTTATTGTTCTACAAAATTACACAGCAGTGACTTGTAAAAAAATGCAGAAAACTGGAACCCACCATTCAAAAGATTAAAATTGCTGAGAAATGCTGCTGCTGGATTTTCTGACAACTGTAGCTCCAAATTTTCAGCCACCCTGAAACGATAACCTCAGTTTCACAATTTATCAGAACTAAGTGATTGACATTACTATGTATAATGACGTGAATAGTGAAACAGCCACTAAAAGAGGCAAAAGGGTCACATTAGGCTCTATGTGCACACACTGTATATGCAGTAAGCAACTCTACAGACCCTCTCATGCTGTATTTACATGGTGTAGAGATCATCATATTTAATGAGATTGCAAATGTAGATATCTTCCCAAGATGGTTAAGCACTCTAGCAAACAGTAGCTTACAGAAAAGGTCTAGCAATGTCTCACTTCCGTGTTTCTTACTAAACACACATTTTTGAAACTTAGGGATACAAAGCACTGCAGTTCAGGACCAATAAACTCTATCTATTTATAATTTAAGTAATAAAGAGTTCACACAGATCAGGTATTATTTACCATTCAAAAACTGCACATGAGTCTATGGTCCATAAAAGCATCATCTAAGCTCAAGTTCTTCTGTATTATTAACAGAATTCACGGAGACAATTCAAAGCAATTATGAAAACAATCCATCAGTCAAACCAGTATAGCAACAATGATAACAAAGATCACTTCTAACTGACAGCAAGTTTGAAATACTCTGTAGTAGCAGTTTTATTCATTTACTTAAAATCTACTATTTTCCCTCCAGCGATGAGCAAATATCTGAAATTGTTTGGAGTTCAAGCCTGTCAGTTTAAAAACACCATCCTGTGTTTCTGATTGAACTGATATGAATGTTTAATGTTTTGCAAAAGATATCCAGCTGCTGAGAGGACCAGACCATAGGAAAACACCTTTAAATAAAAAATTAAAAGATATCAAAATTTTTACTCAACTGAGGTCATGGAAAACTTCAAATTTTCTTATTTGTGACCCAAAGCATTCTACTTGTGGAGCAGCAAGTATCTGTTGCAAACAAAAGTATAAGGGCTTTTAGAAATATCCAGAGTTTTCCTAAATTACTTAAATAATTTGTGCATTGTGTTCCCTCAATTTTCAGTTAAATAAACAAAGCTTAAAGAGACTTCAATAAACAGTATTTCTTCTGTAATTACATAATTTAAGATACAGATGTATGCATAACATAACATCTTTAACAAGAATCGTTTAGGGTACCAAAATGTAAAAGATTTTACATTTGAAGTTGTGTCTGTACATTCCCCAGCGTTAGTTGACATTCACAGTTGCCATTGCTGGTATTCTGCATGGTTCTCAGGAAGCTCTCCAAAACTTTGGAAAGTTTTTGGTTTATATATGCCATACTCTCACAATCCCCCTTGTTAAAAGCAGGCCACGTTCTTTCAATATCCTGCAAAACACAGTGATCATAGGGTTAGCAAATCCCTGAGGTGGTGTTACTGCTTGAAGTATCATTTCTTGGCAACTAGATGATGCATATTTTCAAATGAGAATATGGGTAAGGTAATACTCTTTTACTCATTGTATTTGTAATTGAAAATGGGCAAGAGGTTTTCAAGAATGAAGGAATATTCAAAGATCTGAGTTTTGGAAGCAACCAAAAATATTTGTGAACTTGACTTAGCCTATCAAGGAGATTCATCCACTAACATAAACGTCAACGTTTTCATTTAAAATTGTATTTCAAAATTATATTAGCTTTGCTTTTTATTTGCTTGGTTTAGGCTAACCATTTTTATCGTTTTATATATATATATAAAATTATGTTCTAAGTATCAGTTTCCATTCAGCAAACCAAAATATCTGGATGCCCATATCCAAAGTTTTTCTTGCATTATGCTTTGCATAGTATTCACCTTTACCTTTTCTTCTGAACATTCACATTCCTGATTTTGCAAGTTTTTTTTAATATTTGCAGAAGTAGGTCATAGAACTGTGGTGATTTCAGAAATGTATTTGTTCTGCAAAAGTTTACTTTGAGATACGAGTGATGCCTCCGACATCTGCCTCAAAACATTGCTGTTCACATTGGCAAAATGTCCAGGTATACAAACTAGAAGAGCTATTTCTTAAAGAGGAAGCAAATTCCATAATGAAAACATGAGTTTAGTATTTTGTCTCTGTGTGCTCGTATACATGCTCTATCCAAAGGCATGCTTCCAACTCTGGATGAGTCTCAAAATGCCAAACATTACTCTCTCCTGCTGGTAATTTCACGCACTGTTAAAAAAAAACAAACTGACCCCAACTGGTGACCACAATTGCTATTTTAGCTTGAATGACTCTGATCAAGAAGTTTTTTTGTATCTATCTAGCTTGATTTCACAGCTGTTCTTGTGAAGATTTACCAGTATAAATGTCATCTGATTTATGAAATAAGCGGTATCACAATATTTAAAGGAACAGGCTGCTGCTTGGGATTGAATGGCAATCTAGTTATTCACATTATAGGAATTCCAGTAATTCTAGTTATATTTGCAGCTTTTAAAGCTCACCAATATTTACTTACAGGAATTCCTTCTGGATATCACTATCAAAAGCACCAGAGCTATATCTATACAAACCTCATCTTTGAATAGCTACTGTCAGAACTCATCACTCAAACAGTAGGAAAGAAAAAAAAAGAAATATTGATCAGTTTCCAAAGTTTAATGCATGTTGTAAAGAACACTTGTTTGTGTAGAAACTACTCAAACCTGATAATGATCTCGAACCAGAATGATTCCTTCCATGACAGAGAGGAGTAAGTGACCCATTAATCCATCTTTACATTTTGTAACAACACAGAAAAGGTTGCCAGTGACAACTGGTTCTTCTGTAAGAGAAAATGTCCTAGCTTAATAAGCTACAAAAAAAAATAATAAATTACTGTAATCAGATGAAAAGTTAACCAAATAATAAGGGAAAAAAATAATTTAAAAGCAAAGAAAGTCATGTGTTAAGGCACTGAGACATATTTCTGGCTAGATTAATCATTGTATGGGGCAAGAAGGGCTAGTGTGATTCAATTTCCATTACTCTTTTCCATTACACTTTCCTGATCAGTAATAAGAACAGCAATACTTGCTACAGAGCCAGAGAAGGAAACTTCATTTTTGCTTTGTTAGCAAGAAGCTTAACTGTGAGAAGCAGTGTATATTAACCACATCTAACCTTCTCCTCAGGCAGACTCTCCTGATCCTATTTCCCTGTGGAGACATCGGGATGTTATTAACCCTCCAGTGAGTAGCAAACTCTGTTGGTTTAATTTCCAGGCATGAGCATGCTTGCCTTGCTTGGCATCACCCAAATTAACTTATTTTTACAAAAGGTTATTTAAAGTAAAGCCTTAACATTACAGTACTAACACATATGGTAACCCATACAGTTACTTCTGTGGTAACCAACCTGAAAAGTTTTTAAGAATATTCAAAATGGTAAACTGCAATTTCTGCAAAAGTAGGATGCTAGGAGGGCTTAAGTGTTCGTGAAGAATCTTGCAGATTTTAGATGCTCTGTAGAAAGATTAATACGAAAACATTATTTTCATGACAAGGGTACCACAGAAAATTTCCAACAAGTGATTATGAAAGGTTGCAATCTTCAATGGACCATATAAGGATTTCAATATTAACAGTTACTACATTTGTCTGAATTATTTCAAAATCAAAACATATTTTCTTTTAAAAATCAGGTTTACATCACGGTAGCAAGTCATCAGCTTTCTTAAGACCTTAGAAGTGCTAGAAAGTACTTTTGCAAAATAAGCAAAATCATAACAGCTTCAGAAATGCTGAATGCCCACAGCGTATACTGACTTGATGGCAAAGAGAAAAATACCTAAAATCTCTGATAATCAGCATTTGGGGGAAAGAAAACACTTTTCTAGTATTTGCTTTTGACTTTTCAACAGATTCGGCTAATACCTGGCCCTGCTGACTGCTGTTTCTGCATATTTGCATAAAATTAATCATAAAGGTATAAATAACACATCATAGTCATGCATCAGCTTCAGTATGCCATTTCTCAGCTAGTCTATGGCAGTAACGTTAGCAGGTCCACTAGCAAGACACCCTAGAGCTGTTTGGAGCAACCGTCTTGTGGATTAATTCAGTGAGTATTACTCCAGTCTAGCAGTACTTTTATTTAATAAGTTGTCAGTAAACATCTTCCAGAAGCAGAGTTTCCTCTTCTGATGGTTACATTTGATCTGAGCAATCTGGCAAAAATGATCACTGGCTCAAGATTCCTTCAGAAACTCTATTCGTTAAACCATAAAACTTAACCCTATAACCATGGCCCCAATAGCATCATCTTGCTTGCATAAGTCATCAGCATATTATTTAATTCAAATACATTTCAAATACAGTATATCTACATTTGGATATAGAAAGAAAGAAAAAAAAACCCAGAACCAACCCACAAAGAATTAATCCCAAGCATTTCTTAGTATTTAGCTCCATAGCCAAAATGACTGTTGTCCACCAATAACTGTGGGTTCAATGTTCATACCTGCAAGGATTTTAAAACACTAATATCTTCAAATATTTTTTTCTGTAGTAGTTCCAAAGAAATCACCTTGAGAATCAATACAGATAACTAAACACATCAGTAACCTGGCCCACAAAATATAATGTCATACCAAATATGTCTGGTCTGAACAGTATAAATTCATACAAACTACTGTTTTACTCAAAGGCACAAATCAGAAATTAAAGAGTAATTAACTTGAAAGTTTTGATTGAGCTGTTTACAAACAAGGACCCCTTCTGTAATTATCAGCACACTGTCAGAGTACATAGAAAACACTCACCTCATTTCTGCCATTATATCCTTATGCAAATCCTTTAGCAGGAAGGTTATTTTGTTCTTGTCATGTCCTGTGCTAGACTGAAATATCATTTGCAAGATCTTTTGCATGAACTCTAGAGTTCTGTTTTGGGACTGAAGAGAGACTTCTCTATGCTGTGCGTTATCAAAAAATGAATCAATGAAGTCAACTGCCTGAAGTTCAATATTGTTTGTATGCAGAAATTCTTCTATAGCAGCAAGATCAGCAATTATATGAAGGAGACTGTTTAGCAAAACTGAATTAGCAGTATGAGTATAATTCAATTTTTCTCTGCTAATATGACCATCAACAAACAACATACTAGTGTAATGTTCCTTAGACTTATTTTGGAATATCTCCAGAAAGTCAATAACATCTTTCACAACCAGAAGTAGGTCATTCGATGAATTTTCGTCGGCCATAAGGAGAATTAGAACATGTATTATTTTTGAATAATTGTTACTGTTACACTCACATACAAAGCTGTTCACAACCTTTTGTATGTCTTCAATATTTCTTAACATAAGAGCTACAGATGATGTATTAAACTGCTGTATTAAAACATCAAGAGCCATTGAAGAGGACTGTCCAGTGACTAACCGTAATAATTTCAACTCTTGGTCTATCACTGCAATTAAGTGTCTAACATTAAAATTCACCAGTAAATCTTCTATGCTTGTAACTATAGCCAACCAGAAGTTCTCAAAGTTATCAGACATATTACTGTTTCCATTTAAAGCTGATAATATCATAAACATTGAGTATGTCTGGTTTCCAACAGAAGACAGCATCATCAAAGGCTGAATTACAGAAAGAAAAGAAAGGACAGCTTCTGTATCCAGGAGCCCAGAAACTTCACTGGTCATATTCTTAACATTAGTAAGAACAGTCTTTATAAATGATGTTCTTGAATGTCTGTTCCAACTTAGACCACCATAGAGATCATCTAGCTGTTCAAGAACACTTTTGGTCATCTCCATTTCTGCCACTGCCATACTGCCCAGTGTTTCTACAATTTGTAAAGCCACTTGTCTCTTCGGTGTAGAGGAACAGTTGACTGAGTATGTATTATTCACCTGCAGTGGCACAGCGTAGAGGGATAGCTCATTCCAAAAATCTAGCAGCTCTTTGAGAACTGACCCATTCATATGATGAAGCTCAGAAAACTTCAAAAGAATAGAGTTCCATTCTTTGATCTGATGAAAAAAGCAAGTCAGATTCCTAGCGATATCCATCTGGAAGTCTTCCATAGTGCATGAGGAACTGTCCTCCAGAGTGATGAGTTTCAGCTCCTTAATAATTTCAATGACTACATTGTATCTAAGAGTATAATTGGTATGAACTAACTCACAAGGTGCAAAAGTGGGAGGTGTTGGTGTTGTGAGACTCCAGCAGAATGCTGCAGACAAACAAACTGAGACCTCTGCAGGTTCATCAGACATATCTGTCAGTGTCTCCAATAACATTAGAAGACTCTCTACTTGATTAGAGAACTCCTCTTCAGTAAACATTGGCATTTTTTCTTCCTGAGTCATTATGAAAGCATAGATTTCAGTTAGAGCTTCCGTGATGTTTCCATGAGCTAATCTTTCTGTAAGACTGATGATATCAAGGAGGAAATGGAACATCTCTTCTACATCATAGAGTTCATCTTGTTCAAAGAGTGCTGTTATTTGCCATAAGCCAGTCAGGTTCCAATTGCATGAATTGTTCCCAAATGCATCCCACCAGTCTGTTAACATTTTTAACTCAGAGTTCTCAATATACAAAGGTTTGGTATTTTCAAAGAAGTTATCCAGGCTCCTCTGGACTTGTTTGAATTGACTTATCAAGAACTCAACATCTATGTTCTCCATATTTTGCACCAAGGCTACCATGTGCTTTAGAAACTCTTTATCACCTCTTGATGGAAAGCCAGTAAAATTAGAAGACTTGAAAACTTTAAGTGCCTTATTTACCAGTTCAATATTTAGAGCTGCTATTTCTACCAGTTCCTGGAGAAATGTTTTGTGTTCAGCCTTTAAGTCTGAGTCAAGTTTACTGATCATATATTGAAAGAACTCCATCACCAAAGTGATATTTTTCTTATGCATGAAAGGTTCAGTCTCAATATCTAAATGAGAAGAGCTGTTTGCTTGGACTTTGGAAGTTTCATTTTTCAGAAGAATTTCTGCCAAAAGTTCTACTGATAAAAGCTGATCGTGGTGAAAAGGATTAGGGAACATCCTTGAAGTCGTGTTAAATCCATGAATTGACTGAATAAAATGGGTCTTATTTGATGTATACCATGAGTGCCCCACTAAATCATTGACAGCCATCTGCCCTCCAGAGTTACTTAAAAGCATAAAAATAAATTCAAGCACACTAACATAATCTTTTACATAAAATTCAGGGAGAATATCTTTTAAAGGTTTTGCTATAATATTGAAATAATAATTTAGACAAATTACATCAGAACCAGTTAGGGAACATTCAGGGAATATCAAATTAAAAATCAAATTAACAATGTCCACCATGTTTGTTAGCTTAATATCTGTCTCAATGTTTCCCAGAGATTTCAGCAGAAATAAAATATGTTTTGCATGGTCAAGGTGGGAAGGTGATTTGTGTTTTTCACTGAGATTACGGAATCCGTGTATCCATCTGTTACAGTTCTCTGCTTCATCCACTGTACTATAAAAGTTTAGTAAGGAATTGAGATGAGATGAGAAATTTGTTTGCAGATGGCTTATGTCTTTCAGAGTATTGTCCAAAATTAGTTTGGTAATATTCTGGAAAACACTGATACAGACCATATATTTTCCTTGAAGTACACTTTTAAAGAAAGCAGATGTGCCTTTTATCTCAGAGAGAATACTTCCAAGTTCCTTTTGGGAAAGCTTGAGAATAGTAGAAAGGGAATTTCCAAAGGAAAATACACCAGCATCCTTATCTTCTCCCTCAGATCCTCCTGATCCCTCTGAGATTAAAGCATCAAGCCAAGAATTCAAAACCTCTCCATTAACAAACTCTAGTGTAGATTTCTGCAATTCAGTTATCATGACTCCCATCATTTCTAAAACACTTTCTAAACTGTTACCTTTAAGTGAGCTTGTGACATCAACTGTATCATTAAATACATTTTGAAGAATGGCAAGGAAAGTGTCAAAATTTTTCCAGTCATTTAAATCATGACCTCCTTCAAATATTATATTTAATATCTTCATTGCTGCTCTTGTAGTTTCAACAACAACCATAGCTGTACTATTGCACAATTCATCACGAGCTGCTTCTAAAAGACTTTCAGAGAGATTTGCCAAATCATTTCTCAGACAGACAAAAAAGGTTGAATTCAAATTTAAAATTTTGGATGCTTCTTCAAAAACCTCTGTCCAGGTCTGAAGCCATGTGAAAGTGCAGTGCAAAGCGGAAGGCACACTTACCTTATCTCCCAAGTTTGTAATATTAGACAGAACACTGTCCAATGAAAGCAGAAGTAAGCTGTAAACCTCTGCTGAATGATCATCAGAAGTAATGTTTGATAGATAAAAATCAGTGCACTCATTATGTGACAGGCATTCTGGGGAGATATCAAGAAACTGTTCCAAATAACAAAAGGCATCTGTTTGGAGCTCTTCATCTACAAACAAAGTTTTAAGGCTGTTCAGAGTGCTATAGACAACATGCATATCTTTTTTTCCTTTCTCTGCAAGAGACCGGGCCTGAAACTCTGTGTAGTTGTAAATGTTTAGTAACTTTTCACAGAAAGACTTACTGGTGAAGTTCCAGAGAACATCAAAAGTTTCAGATAGCAAATCAAAAACTTGATCCCTATCTTGGAAATCATGCCATACTCGAAAAGATGAAATATCTTTCAAAGTCTCATAAAGAACTGTTAGCAGAGTGCTAATTCTTTCAATATTTAAGACCAGATCATCATTCTGATACAGAGAGAAAAGTACTTGAACAAGTGAGGCCACACTAGTGTTGTTTAGTTTTTGGATGGCTTTTAAGAAATCATGCACGGTTTCTCCTAATTCTTGTACTTCATGTATAAAAGTTGCATTTGAGAGTAATAAAGAAGAAGCATTACTAACTCCATGAGTTCTGCTGAAAGACACATTGACATGATCATCAGTCAACAATCCAACCACATAGAGATTCCTTAGGAAGTTTTCACGTAAGTGTGTTTGATGGTTCAAAGCAGCAATATTTAACTCTGGCCAATCAGTCAGGATATTTTGGAGCAATAGTATACTCCTATTATGGATTTTATTTTCTGTAATGGAAAACATAATTCTAGATAAGGCCTCGAATACCTCTTCCTCTTCCACTTGCCTCAAATTAGAGAGCCTAGAATCAAGTTCGTAGAATACAACTTTCACTATATGCCAGAAAACTTCTGCCTTCTCTTTCATCCAGAATCTCTGAAGAGGCTGGAAATTTTCTCGTAGCTTATTAAGGAGTTCAGAAACTGCAGTTTCCTTCCCCTCAGCAAAAGTTTTCATCCATGGAATTGTATTATTCAAGATATTTTTTATTAGAGACTGGTTTGAAGAAGCCGAGAAATCAAGCATTATAATTTCTTCTGCGACTTCTACCAGATGAAAAAGATGATCCATTTCCTTTTCACGAGAAATAGTTAAGTTTTCTTCTCTCTTCAAGAACTCTTTGAAAGTTGTCAAAATCCTGAAAAATTAAGCACAAATTTTTTATTACTTATGTAGCAGGCAGACAAGAATTGGTTGATTATGTACTATATAATTTTAGAATCTAGTTTTATTCACTTAAAGAAAGTTCAAATATCATTTAAATAGCAGTCACAAATTAATCACCACAAACACTAAAACAGCACAAATTACAATTACTTTGTTTTTCAAAAATGTGAAAGAACTCACTGAAAAGTCACAGCCACATTCAAATCAAAATCTTAATGTAGGCAGCTAGGTTAAAGAAGCATGCACTGATCAGTAATTATAATCCAGTTTGTAAGCCATGAGAGCCAAACATCCTTAAGTATGTCACATTTTCAGCTTCTAAAAAGAGCAAAGCTTTTATGCGTCACAGACTAATTATTTTAAAGAAAGAACCTATCAATAAAATCAATCAAACCCTCTAATTTTCCATGAATTCAAAAGATTTTCATTTTTTTTCTGCTTTACCATAGATAGTGAAAGCCAAAACATTCCAGTTGACTGATTGATAGCTGAACATCGTTATTTTAATATCAGGGAGGGGGGATGGGGAGATGGAACACACCAACCAACCAACAACAAAAAAAACCCAAATGAAATCACAGTGAAAATTTGAATGCTCCAAATAATGTTTCCATTGTGTCAATACTGTTTATCAAAATAAAAATTATTTACTAGTTCTGTAAGACTGGTGGAGATTGAAGTGTAAGGAAAAAGGAGAATTCCAATGCAAGATCTCAAAATGAAAATACCTTCTTAAATATGTTTTCTTTTAATTGCTAAAATGCAGAACACCACACACAACTAAAAACCTTTGTGGGGGAATTTCTGTATCAGTTACTGGAATGGCTTCTATAAGAGAGAATCCAAGACGTTAAACATTGAAAAAAAGTATTCCCCACGTAGAATCTCTTTCCTAGACTGATTCAAGTCAAAGAAATACCTCTGCATGTATAGCACAAAAATCCAAACAAGTCAGCTGATTTTGTTAAGTACTACTGAGCAGAGAAAATAGCACAAATTTTAGCAACAGTGTTTAAGACCAAATCCAAATCCTTGCCCCAGCAAATGTGCCTGCATTCCTAAGAAAGTTGAGAAAGAACACAAAAGCGATGGAACATTTAAGTTAGAAATCTGCATTCTGCAACTTCTGGGGTTTTTTACAGTACGTATCAAGAACATCTAAGCTTTTGATTCTTCATCTTTCACTGCATTGATAGTGGCTATTTCCATTTGATAGGTTAAAGAAGGATTGATTCAGCAAAGAGCTAAATAGCAGCACAATGTAAAATAAAGTTCAAAGTCCAGAAATGTAATTTAGGAAGTATTCTTATCTATTGACAGCTGTGATCACCAGCATAGCATCGTAAATAGTAGCACTTAAGTAGCAGAGGCAGCACTCAACAACTAGTCCAGAGTTGTTCCACTGGGGATATATTTTTTCTTTTGTTTAACAGTGATGATTAAATGGCTCTGGTTTCACTGTTCATTTAGATATTAGCAGGGCTATAATGCAAATAACTTAGTGACAAGAAGGCCTTGTTACACTACATTAGAACTGCCTGGAGTCCGCCACTTTGGTTACTATTGATAGCACACCAAAGATGGAGATGTTTTTTTGGAATGTTTTTGAATGACAGCCACAATATCATAACTTTCTTTGTAGGATTCTATTTCTTCCCAGTAATACTGAAAACCACCAGTCATTTGGTGAAAAGAGGCAGGATAACTATGTTCAACAATTACAAAAGCCCAAAGTGGAGATGGGATAAAGGATTTCTGGAAAACGGTTAAATAAAGAAATTAAATTGATCAGCTGAACCTTACCGTGCCCTGGAAAGAAATGAAGAATAACCTGGTAGATTTTGCAGAAATGCTAAATAATGACCTAGGATGGTCTCCAAACTGAGCTTTTGTCTAGAACATACTGATGCTTCTAGCCCATCTGCAGAGAAAATAAAAATTTCACCATCAAGAGACAGGTCATAGAAAGTAGACACTCCAACCAAGTTCATCCAGTTGGAATTTTCCCAATAGACATGGACAATCCAAAAATTTTCTGGCCAGCCCCAAAAAATCACAGCTATTTACCAGAGTCAGACTCTGTATATTATAAGACCTCCTTGCTAATGATTCAGTGAGCTGGTGAATCCTAAAATTGATGGAAACCAAAACAAGCTTACAAATATAAAAATCACCATCTTTTCCCTTTCTGAGGAATAGCATACCCTAAAACAGACAGGGAACCATCAGAATAGAGCCTGTGATGTGCAGTAGCTCTTTCATTACCTGACTGATCTCCCTTGGTGCCTCCTGCATCTTCGTTCATATATTGAGCTAACTCGCACATCCAGCTGGCAAAAGTTGTTAAATCCTTCCAGTATGGGTTACCTTCAAAAGCAAACAAAATTTCTTCAAGTGTATTATTAATTCTGAAACAACACAGAAAACAAAGGTGCCATTATTAACCCAGTGATTTCTTTCAAAGCCAAATTACCTTGTGAACACATGCTGTTTCACTCCAAAATCTATAACTAGATCCCATTGCTACTTTATGTGTATGGTATAGACAGTCCTATTGACTTAGGGAAGAACTCAAGCAGTCAGTCTAATAGCAGAGTCCTTTGCTAAAGAAATCAACAGCATAGGTATTGCATCATTCTAAGCACAACTAGACTTTACCACACAGGTTTGTAAGCAGAAAAAAAAAAAAAAAAACAAAATCCTAAAAGCTTTTTAAGAAACCTCTAACAAAATGCTCTGCCTAAAAAAAACAAAACCAACAACTCAAAAAACAATCAATCAAATAAGACAACCACAAAACATAAAAATAGCTCTGGGTTTTGTTTTGTCTTCAATATTACTTAAACACTAGCATCTATTCCCAGGGACCTTTAAGCTCTGTCAGTGGTTTTGATGCTCAAAAGAGGAATGTAAAACTAGTCCTCCTGGTGATTTTGTAGTCTTCTAGTAACAGGGAGAGAGAACGAAGGCGATCAGCCATTGACCAACAGCAAGAGACAAGAAAAATTACAACAATTTTCTAACATCTAGGATGTTATTAATATCTGTGGATTTAAGTCCTGCTGCCAAAGCAGCATGTGGAGTTTCTTTCAAATTCTTGAATTATTAGAGCTAATAGTTTTGCTGCTTTAATAGAAAATTCTTCTGTCAAGTATTTCATACACAGAAGAAATGTAGATATTTGTCTTCTATACATGTTTAAGTTTGTGACATAGAACATGTGTCCAACATAAATGCAACTTCACATTAAATGTATCATTCTCATGCTTTACACTGCCAAGCAAGAATAGTAAAACACTATCCTATTTTAAAGTACTTTATTGGTATAAGGATTTGTCTCTAATATACTCTGATTTAACACCATTAGAACTTCAAATCAGTAGAATTACTCAATCACTGCAAATGACGATCAACTTAATAGAAAGATTAATGGATTTTCTGCCAAAATAGAGGAACAGTGACCACTTGATGTGTTGAGAAAGCTACTTGAAGCTGCAATACCCATCCTAATGTGCTTTTCTGTATCTCCCAGGAGTCTCTTAGATCCAATTTGCCAAGCATCCTGAGCAGCACAGTACAAGGGAGGTATATATCAGGAAGCAGGCTGAGAAGTAGCAGAAAATATGTGGATGTGAGAAGATAAAAAGGAAGAGTAGATTTTAGAATCTTAGATACCTGCCTATCCTCAGCCTATTTCCACCCCTACTACTCTCCAGTACTATTGCTGCTGCTAAAAAAAAAAAAAAAAAAAATAAAAAAATCATCCTGTACCTTCCTGTTTGTGCTTATAGGGAATTGTTAACACTGGGTGACAATCAAAAGCAAAAAGCAGGGTTTTAACCTTTTTATCTATTCAGTTATTGGCTATAATATCTTATTCCAGGCTGGTATCAGTCAGAATCTTTATGTATTAAACGGTACACGAGACACATACAGTGAGAAGAGCAGCTGTTCCTGACAAGAGCTGAAACGGACATCCTCCTCAGATGGTGCTTCTGTGCTCAGCAATTGATTAATTTCACAGTAATGAGCATAATGTTTGGTTAGCTGTTCTTCTATTTCTTGCCATCCCAAATAGTCATCCATTATTGGATCTGGCAGGCTCTGTCGTCCCTGGGTTACTTTCTGCAGAAGCAGGACCTTTCACAGTAAAGAAAACAATATTTGAAACCGGTAAAAGGGAAAGTCACTTTTGGTCTTGCTTCTTCTATTTGCAATATTAATGATATTGAAATCCAATGTAAAATGGATTAAATGAGCAGTCTTTCAAACCTTCTATTTTTTTTTAATGAAAGTCACAGCTACTTAACAGGTCTAAAATCTCACATCCACTCAAGAGACTTACCAGGACCACTTGTGCCTTGCCCCCAAGCACATTTTGATCAGTTTAAATTATCAGTTACCCATCTACTTATTACTATCAAACAGGAAGTAGTAAGCTACAACCTCTGCTAATTTGTTTTATTTTATAGTAGCATTATAAGTAAGGCACTGCAAGCTTTAAACACAAAAAAAAAAATTCAGAAGTACTTACAGATTCTTTTAGTGACTGGAGCTGGTTGCTTAGCTTAAAGGTCACCTCTGAGCCATTACCAGGGCACATGTATGTTGCTAAAATGTCAATGCCATCTGAGCCCTGTGGAAGTCTTAGGGTCTTCTCAAACATTGTAAGCAGGTCATTGCAAACATAGGAAGCATTGCTCGTCAACATCTAAAATTTAATTAATATACTGTCATTTTAAAAATTAATTCAAGATGAAGGAACAGATTTAATTCGCACTCCATATTAATTCTCAGAATGAAAAGTCAAAAGACAAAAAGTACAAAGTAAAGTTAGACCAAAATGCTGCTGAATAAAAAGTGAAATACTTAACAAGTACTTTTTATCATCTAAAATAAGCCTCTGGAGCTTTATGCAAATTAATATACAAATATCAAATAACAGCATACCTGTTTTAGCTCCACAAAGAGCTTTCTGATGTCAAGACGAATGAATCCATCTCTCTGGGCAACGGGAATCAGTTTTTCCAGGCTATGTAAAGCATCTGTAAGACATTTTTCCCACACACCCCATAAAGAAAATATTTAACCTGCAGAGTAATTTTGGGACATTACAGTAGGAAACATCCTTATGGGGAAAAAAAAACCCCTGTGCATGGTAGGGTTTAAAAATACAGCAGTTAGAGAGGCATAAAGTTCCAACTTTGTTACAGATGACATCCCTGCCCAGAGCGCTCCATTTTGCACAAAAGATGTACACAGTTGCACTCTTGCACTTCTGAAGAGCAAAGACAGCTCCTCTCCTGCACCGCCACTGAAAAAGGCTCAGGAAGACAAGGCAGGAAGAAGAGAAAAGTCTTCTTACACCAGCAAAAGCATGATCCTATCCCCTTTCATAGTTAAATCAGAGTGGCCTAAACGGCTTCAATAATCTATCATGATTTCCAGGAAAGGAAATGAGGTCCTATGTGGGCTTCTAGCTATGAATGCTGTAAATAAACTCTTCCCACGTGTAACTGTTGATTTACCCAGAAAAATTTTCTGGAATATGGAAAGGTCACCTAATTCCTTAAGCTCCCAGGCAAAGCTAGTCTCTCCCTTCTCAAATAAAAGACAACCACAGAAAAGTTACCAGGTCATGTTATTGAGTTGCCAAATCCAGTAGCCCTACAAAAGTCAAGCTGCCACAGCTCCATGACTCCAGGTCCAATGAGTAGCAAGGCTGGGAGGCACGCAAGCCAACACATGCACAGTGAATGCACATGGCCAGCCACAGTGATCAACACAGACCAACGCATGCAGAACTTGCACACACAATAAACACCACCAAAGGCCTCATCCTGTTAACCTCCCTGGGTGGTCAGGATGAAGGTCTGCTAGAGACATATGTATGTATATATATACACACACACACAGTGTGGATGCCCCCTAGCAGCTGGGCTCAGACCCAGCAATTGTCCCTGGCTCCCAATCTCCCTCCACAGTTGCTTGCACCTGGGGATATGAGCCCAGAATAGGGAGTCCTCACCCAGGAAAAGAATTAGAAATGCAGTTTAGAGAGAAAGCAGGACAGCCTACAGTGGTCAGGGGCATGGCCAGGTGAGCAGCCTGTTTACTATGAAAAACCCCTCTTTTATCACCTTATTGCTATTTTCCCATCCTGGTTCCTCCCTAAACCACCTAAATAATTTCCTCTCCCCACTTTTAGTTTCCCTTCCAAACCTCTCATACCGTCTT